TGCATCCAACAGAAAGAAGGAAACATTCTAACTCTGGGTTGGTAGAAAAACTCCACCTGCTGACAGCTACCAATCATATCGGCGCCGATTATGAGTATTCACTGCATGCAACGGTTGCGTGCTAGAACGAGTTTTCCCACGTGCTTTCATACAATCGCAATCGTTCTTGGCAAACAACATTATTTATTCACGCAAGTGGCACATGTGAAGTTCAGAATATTTTGTATTGATTGTGGCACACGTAAAAAATACCACAGGATTTTTTTTTTTTTATTTTACAATCTGCGAAATAGAATGTTTCGGGTTGCCTTGGTCTCTAATGCATGTAGCACACAAAAGAGCACGAGCTGAATCACAGTGGGAAACGAAAACAATAATGGTAAACATGTAATCACGTGAAAACTGATGGGCTATGCACATATGCAGAAGGTAACCTTTGTTACCTTCTGAATACATTGCCAATAAAGTATTTGGTTTTATCGTGCGAGCGAAGTGGAACAAACAAGCGCGAGCATGCTTCCCTGAACCGTTTAAAGCATGGAGCTCTCTTTTATATTTTTTGGTGCTCTCAATTCTATTGTTTCATTTATTTTCATTAAGTGCGTATATGTTTCTTTTTTGTCTTTTGCGTTCACGTGCCATTTTCTTAGTTATATAATATTTTTTTCAGAAGTTCGACAACTGTAGTCTGTTTCACCATAAGTAAGAGCTGCATAATCAAAGATGTAGACAAAAAAAGAACGCGAACACGCGAACACACATTAAAAATGCAATGTAACGGCGCGTCCTAAATTAGTATATAGTTTTTTAGAGAGCAGCAGTTTCGTAGGGCGACATTTTTACCCGTTGAAGTGTATAAAAAAGTGCTGTACAACTGTTAGTTCGGAATCTTCAACGTGCATTACGCAGTATATGTGATACACGATCGCACGACGATAATGTACATTAAAATAGTTTGTTGTTGGGCGAGTTGGTGAACGTGTTTGTTTCTCTCTCTTGTGTCCGTCTTTTTTGCGCAAAACCATGTATCCAAACGTTCACCAACTCGCCCAACAACAGACTATTTTACAGTACATTTCTTCTACAGTTTGTGTTTCTTCGGATCATTTTAATGTCAACACGCTCGTCTGTCACATCGTGACTGTAACGTGTCGCGCAAGATTCATCGGCTTCTGCATCAGGAAAGGAGTCACACCACAAGAAGTAAGCGCTCTGTGCGGCAATGTGAGGCCGTCATGGCGACACCAGAAACGAATCTGTAATATCCTTCGTTCTGAATTATGGTGTCAAGTTCGCATGTTCAACGACTGGTTGCGCGTGGTATGTTATGTACAAGACCCCCCATGGCTCGCAGAAAGGAAGTTGCAACAGATAAAAGGCTTTTCAGCCCGGTTGACAGAATACTGGTGGAACTACACTCTCAGCCAAGCCCTTCGATCATCTGACAAAAAACAGAAAGAAGAACGGGGGAGTGGACTTATGGTTACAGGTTGCGCTCGTGTTTGTTTCTCTCTCTTGTGTCCGTCTTTTTTGCGCAAAACCATGTATCCAAAGATTATATAGATGGGCGAGAGAAATCAGGGTCCCCGCTAAAGCTCCTTGATAAAATAAGTTTTTGCCAGTACCGCCAACCAGTGACATGGAAACGCGCAAGACACGTGCCACGAGCGGGTGCTCCGCCGCCATTCGCTTTCAAGGGCCAGTCATTTTAGTGCCGCGCCGCCATTTGCCTCCAAGGGTCGCTGGAGACACGGACCTCGTGCACTGGCACATTTGAGGTTATTTGAAAGACGAACGCAAACACATCGAGGGGATTTAGTTCGAACAGATTCTGCAGCGTGAGCTCCGTGCTTTGAACGGAGCTCGCGTTTGAGCATTTCTCCACGTGCTGACGTGACGTGGACGGATGTGACGTTACGGACGGTGTTGTATTCGCATCTATTTTGTTAACTTTGTATTTCACGTTCCACCCAAAACTAAACATCTCTTCCTAAACAAAAAAAGGGGTGCGTGTGGTATTTTCCATAAAAAGAGTACTCCTTAGAAAGCCACCCTCCTTCCTAAATACGCCGGTGGCCGAGATCGCAAGCTAATTCTTCGATCCTTTAATGGCATCAGCTTTGTTAACGTTTAGTTGCGTGTCAAACAGGTTTATTGGTAAGAAGAACCGTTGTCACGTGTGTGTGCACGATTTATCTACAGTTTATCATTCTGCGTTCCCGACGGAGATAGCTTACTTGTTTTAATATAAATGAAATCTAGCTACAAGGCGCAGTTTGCCGAGTGCATCTTGGGATAATGATGAGATGACGGAGACAAGCAAATACAAGCAAAACACAAAAAACCTCTAACCTTCAATAAACTTGTTCCTTCTTGGGGTTCGCTAGAATTGTTTTTGCCACTGAGACAGCAACACCATTGAGAGGCAAAATGTGTCGGCTTCAACTTGGGAAATATTACTAAAACATAAAGAATTATGTATGATATGTATGATCCTAGTGCCTCGATCTTGGTATACATATATATATATAAATATATATATGCACCATGGCGCTTGAGAGTGCACATTTTGACAGATCAAATATATAGACCCTTTGCAGCAGCTGTGCACGGACGCCGCCATAACTGACCTTCAGTTTTTGTTTCCTCCATTTCGTTTATTTCACTTCATCATTACCATAGCGGGCCAGGTTATTGCCATATTAGATTCAACTGTGTCCTTTTCTAAAGCATCGGCCTTTGTAGAGGATCGTCAACTACCGTTTCAGTTGCTCGGCATTTCGGTAAGACAAGAGAAGGTCAGCAATGGCGGCTGTAATTTGGCGCGTGTGTAAAGCGTCTATACAAAAAAGAATACCTTTGACTTGTCGCGGTTTGCAACAAGATAATCGAATCTCTTGGTGAAAAGATCGGTACTGTAATGCCCAGTTTCATTGAACACCGGCGTCGCGTTGTCTCTAAAGTCGAGTCCAATGTGGTCCTGAAAACAATATTAAAAAAAACTTTCAGCCTTTCTCCGCTGGCGAAAAAGGAAGACCAGCGGAGCTGTACAATGGAAAGCAATGGCCGGCCGCAAGTCGGCAAGCTAGAGGGGAAAAACTGCCGCCATCTATGAGCGACGGCGGCACCCAGATGCTTGACTTGCCGCCGTCGCTCATAGATGGCGGTAGGTGTCCAGAGTTGGGTGTTTTCATTTCTTTGCGGGGGACACGATCCTGGGGAAACTAACCCTTAACAGCTCCGATGTAATATGTTACGAAATCATGGTATATTTGTCCTGGTCTGTTTGCTCGAACGAATCCAGAGAGGTTGACGCTGCTCTGGTCACTGAGAGGTTAAGCAACACAGCACGTTTTGAGTCCCGAGCACAATATTGTCGCAGATAGTAAAGGCTCCACGAGCGTAAGCTGCAAATAAAGGTTTGATCGGTGAACTCGCGCCATAAATAAAAGGAAGAGCGTCGAAACAGCAGCCACGACCGTCGACGGCACGCAGCAGCGAGCGAGGATGTGACGGCGTGAGAGCTGGCGAGCGTGACTTGGCAAAGCCACGGTCGGCTCTTCATCTACTGCACTCAGTATTTGGAATATTCGACCTACAGCACTAAATTAACGCATCTAACCCATTTCAGGCGGTCAGGAAAAATCGGTTGCGCAGCCTGTTACACTGCGATTTATAACAGAGGTGCAGCTAGGTTGTTGAAACATATGGAGTGAAATTAGTAACGGACGAGCTTACTTTTCTCTAAAAGAAAAAAGAGAAACGTGTTTCGGGCTATCTGCCGCGGCATTTGCAGACGACGTCATGTCCGGGCTCGCCTAGTTGTATGACCTACCAAAAGATCGCGCAACATGAGACACTAAAGTAATGCAGCGCCTCGGCCGATCATCTCCGTGCCAAAAATAGAAAGCCACGGGGGATCTAAATCCATGTTTTCTTTTCCATTTTATTTTTAAGTGAATAACTTATCGCATAATTGTAATTTAACAATAGGAAGACGCGCGCCGGCACAGTGAAAAGTTTCCGAAGATCGTGTCTGCTAAGCTCGGCGCTGGCCCACTCGACGCTTTCGACATCTGTCGGCGGTCCAGGCGGTCGATGCGCTGCATACTTTCGTGCAACTTTCGTGTCTCATGTTGCGCCATCTTCCGGTAGCACATACAACTAGGAGAGTCCTGTCATGACGTCGACTGGAAATGCCGCGGCAAATAATAATTGGGTTGTTTGTATGTTTATACAGCCTAGAACTTGGTCTGCCTCACTGGGGCGACGAGTCTCCCAGCTGTAGATGAGAAATTTAGCCAGTGCGGTACAACCGCTAGCCTGGGGTCTTTAACGTGCACCACGCAGTAGTGATACACGACCGCACGCCGGTACGATGCTCATCCAGATCGAAACGGGCAGGGGTGCCCAGGATCCCGGGGTTCTGCAGCGCGAGATTTCGCTCCACGTGCTCCGAGCTGGTGTGCGCTAGACCACTCGGCCACCGATCTTTTACACTCCGGGTGAGAGCAAATTTGACTCTTCTAAAAGTATGAAGAAGCGTTCCTTCTGGGGAACGCACGCGGCCTCAGCCGATGAAACTGGCATTGGCCGATAAGAAGGCAAAAAACCGAATGGCGGCGAGGCAAGGACAGGCGGGCTGATGTGTCCATGCACACGATTGCCTCGATTTTGTTTTTCTACCTACATCACTAATAATAACAACCGAATCGCAGACCGATTCGTTTTTCATTGTTCTTGCGTCAGTGGCTATTTGACAAACGTCGGCAACTATAAGTGCATGGGAAAGCCTCGAAGAAGCCTCATGTGTGCGTCTAATATTTCGCTAGTACACATCGTTTTTGTTTTGTTGTGGGGGTTCTGTATAATGGGAGTCTATTCAGATGCAAATCTGAGTCCTTCAGGAGGGTTCATTCATGCAGTCACGTTGTTATAATCAGGTATATATTTAGTTCGCTTATTTTTATTCGCATGTTTTGCTCTTCTTGTTTACTTACAGTTCCAGCGGTGTGGTTGTAGTAATCATTTCCAGCCGTATAATAGCCAAAGAAGCTGTCGAACCCTCTTTTGGGGGGCGTGTATGCTGTCTGAAAAAATCCCAGGTGCCACTGAAAAAAAAAAAAAGATTTATTTTTGACTATGCGTTTTCTATTGGATTACTTCCTATACAGCTTCCTCCATACTTTTGTTTAAATCATTGTGCATCGATTAATATTATTTTTTCTTCAGTGCTTACGCAAATTCCCATGTTGAACTCAAATTGGATGGTGATTGAAAAGAAAAAGTACTTGAACGTAAACGATTACATTTTTTTATATATATTCCAAATGTAGTTAAAGTGTATCGAGCTTTGCAAAGCCGTAGGTATAAATAAAAAATCGGAAATTCTAAAGATATTTCGCTTAAAAGATTTGGTCAATTAAAAAAAAGTGAAATTGATACTTGCATTGGCGAAAATTTTAATAATCTCCTAAATGTTCCGTTTACCATGATGATTTTAGCCAAAAACTATGGCAGAAAAAATTTCTTTTTTTTTTTACAGTTGAAGAGAAAGTGACAGGGACAGACAGGGTTTCAAACTCAGCTGATAATTTTATTCAACCATCATCCTTATATACAGACCTACTATGGTCACCTACTTCTGCCCCAGTCCCGGGTTGAAATCATTATGGTAAACTTCCAGCAGCTCGCCTGCGCACTGGCCGTCATTTAATTAAATATTTCGTGTGTTTTTTTATTCTTGTTAAATGCTTGTTTGATACGCTTTTATCACTTTTCTCTCTCTTTCTCTCTCTCTCTCTTCCTCTCTTTCTGTTGATCCTTTATCTTTGGCTCGCGCCAAGTTTACATAGACGGAGATTGTCTCCTCTCAATATAAAATACGTTCCATATGGAGTTTGCTATCTAGGGAATAATCGAAATAAGCCTGCAACATAAAAAGTTACATGAAAATGCAACACAAAATTGAAGTCATCCACTAATTTAAGCGGGCTTATGTCACGGTATATCTGACAGACGGTGGTCAAGTGGCGACACTATGACGGTGGTTTTAAAAGCGCAAAGAACAAAGAAGAGAAGGCCATCAGTGACCCTAACACAAAAAGAACTTCAGTTCCTTCGGTGTTTCCCCTGCAGTGTTGGAGGTAACGCCTTACTAGTAACGACGTTACTGGTAAAGCGTTACATTTTTCGCTAACGCAGTAACGTACTCGTTAGTATTCTGAATGACTAACGAGTAAAGTATCTTCGTTACTTTTTTACGGTATCGGCTGTCAAATTTCGTTACTCGTTACTGGTTACTTTTGACCAAAACTGGTGAAATCCTGCACGAGCTTATCTCAAAATCCTGCACCAGCTTATCGCTGCACGGAACCAGCATCCGTCACAGTAAAGTTAAAAAAAAAAAAAAGCTCACTTTTCGAAGGCGAAAAAAACCTTCGGCTATCAGCTAATTCCGTTCATCCTCCTTTTTATTTTTTTCATGGTGTAACCACCCACAAGGCTTGACTGCGTTACAGCCCCCTCTCCTCCCTCCTCTTCCCCCTCTGCTTTGAGCAGCAGAGGTGGACAGCGGGGGGGGAGGGGGGGGGGAGCCGTGAGAGACATCCGTTTACAACAGTGGACAACTAGTGGCGAAGCGATTTGCTCATTTCTCTAGTTTCAAAAAAAAAAAAAAAAAGAAACACCCTTTGTGGAATTTTTTTACCCTCGCTCTCCCTCTAGCTGCTTAAAAGTTCCTGAGCCACTTTTGTACACAGAAGAATCTTTTGCTTGATTAGTCTTTAATTCCTTAAGGTCATGATAAAAAAAATAAAAAAAAAAGTTTGAAACCTGGAAAAAAAAACTTAGAAACACGAAACCTTTTTTTTTTTTTTTTTTTCACAGAAAAACTAGGAGCTACTGCTGGTAAGAGGCAGCAAGTGATTATAGCCCATGTGCTGGTAACCGGTGTCCTGTTCGAGATAGTGAAGTAAATCAGTCTCTGGTAATAGTATGAACCGGACTGTTACTAAAACCGGCGTACAGATGAGGGGTGTTGGTTGGCTGGTTGTGTTCCAGCAGTCCCCGTTCGCATGCTGTAGTTTATAAAAGCCGATTGACTACCTTCTCCGACTCATTCTGCGTGTGAGATGGACATGAATAACGTAACTCGGTCGCCATGGCCAGCAGGTCTGAAGGAAATGTATCAACTAAAGGAGACAGAATCAGGTAATTTACAGTTTCTATGCCTATTCTGCATCAAACACTATGAAACCACTCTGTAAATTTCCATCTTTGTCGGAGCTTGTTAAGGAGGCTTATGGTACATCTCTGCCAAACATATATATGTACTCGAACACAAACGTAACGTAAAAGTAACGTTCGTTATTTTTGAAAAGTAACGGTAACGGTATATCGTTACGTTTGTAAGAAAGTAACGTAGCTCGGTAACGCGTTACGTTTTACCTAACTAACGAGTAACGCTATTTCGTTACTTTTTTTCGGTAACGGGCACAACACTGTGAATCCCCTGAAGACTTGAAACACAAAAAGAACTTCCGTTCTAGTGGTATTGTACCTGAAGATTTTTTAGCCGGTTGCTGTGCGAAATTTTTGTTCTTCTTTTTTGTTCTATATTTTTTCTTTTCCTTTTTTTTCTTTTTGTTGTGTAGACAGTTTTTTTACGTGACAAGTACTTTGTCTTTAGCTGAAGTTATTTTATTTTGATTTCTAAAACTAAATATGTTCTTTGTGGCAGCAGTGACTTTAGTTTTATCTTTCCTTCTTTCTCACTTCCACCTTGTCGTTCTCTAGATTCTCTATTAAAATTGACAGTTGTAAGTAAGCGCTCTGTACTGTCCCCTCCTTCTCTTCTTAGTCCTAATTGCGCTTTTAAAACTAACGTATTGTACATTCAAGAATGTTTTCAAAGAAGGCTACTGCTGGCTGAAAAATGTTTTGGAGTGTGTGCACCCTCATACGTATAAGTCCCTGAAAAATCTTCTTCAGCACCCGTCATTGGTCTCCAGCCCTTCAATCAGCCTAGCGATTAAGAAGGGTACCCGTTATCACAGTTCAATCATGACCTAGCTAAAACGGCAAGAAAGGCGCATAGTGCATTTGCGACGGATATTCAATTATCATTTTACTATGCTCGTGATCGTGCTCGCACATCTCGCTGGCTTAAAGAAGGATCAAATGTTTTCTTCTCCGAGTGTAGTGTGGGACAGCATGCATCCAGGCATTTTGACAGGGTGTGGGATGCATTCACCACATCGACAATGCGGTTTTCTTTAAATAATTCGTGGAATAAGAACAGCGATCGATATCATGCAGGAATTCATAGAAAATAATCCGATAGAAACAATGGTGTGACGTAATTTGTCTCCATACAAAGCCGTCCACTAGGCACAACCCACCCTATAAAGCTACCGCCTTTACACGCATTTGGCAGAATGACCAAACATGCAGTCATATTTTTTTCTGAGCGTTTTACCTTCCGAGTTTATTATTTATCTTGCAACAATATTGAACTAAGCATATCAAAATAACATGAAGTTAGCTCAGCATTACCATTTCACCGCGAAGTGGGTTTCCTTTGGCTCCCTGACCACGAAAAACTATCTTTCCAACTGGTTTTATCCTTCAGATTAATGAAGAAGTAATGTTTCTATGAAAAGTATCTTGTGACAGAAGGTACCAATACTAAGGAACGTTATTTTTAATGATATTATTTTGTAGAAAATATAAGATACAATTGACAACGGGACAATCCGTGTGATTTAAATTACAATTTAAGTCGCGATTTAAATAAGATTGACCTTTTTTTGCTATCTTCAACCTGGACGGAAGCTTTGAAGCGCGCAGGCATTCACTCACAAAAGAGAAAATACTGAATATTACTCCGTATTACCTTGCCAATCATGTTCACTTGGTAGCCTAAATCTTTGAAATGCTGCGGCATGATCTTCACTTCCAGCGGCAGGCCCCATGGCGCAGCGTCTAGAATAACACTAGTCTGCATGCCTGAAAGAATCCAGAAAAGTAACTTCTCTTCAACATTCTGTAGACCCTGAGATGGGAAACAATAAAAAGAAAAACCGGACGAAGAAAATTTCAAACGCAGCTGAAATTTATTGCTTACAATTCTGTTTCACAAATGAATGAATTTGATTAAAGCATGAAATGCTTTTTAACGCTACCCTTAATCTCAAACTTTTGTCCGTCCGTCCGTCCGTGCGTTTTCAGCTAATTTCGCGGTGTCTCGTCACGTTCCCTATACACCTTGGGGAAATTTATGGCAGGTGACCTATACGTCCACTATATATATATTCCCCGCTAAATTAACCGGGCAGATCTTGTGGCTAAAACATCAGTTTCCCCGCTAAATTTAGCGCTAAATTGACGCCACGTGACCTATACACCAGCTCAGTTAGCTGCTATATTTAGCGGGAAAATGAACGTCTTGTGACACGCCAATCTAGTTTCCCGCGAAAGTTTACGGGAAATCGACCTCACGTCACCCGACGTCGCGTGACATATACAACCATGCAGTTTCTACACTAAATTTATAGGGAAAATATACGTCATGTGACACCCTCAGGAATTACCTATGAGGCAGTTTATGCATTGCAGGACTTTAAAAATAAAGGTTTCTTTATAAATAAAAATGAGTTTCTGTTTCTACCCCAGTCTCGGGTTAAGTTCGAACTTGGTCCAAACCAAAGGACACAACCCCGGCGAACGTCCTGAGAGGGCTTATCTACAAGATCCCCTGCAGTGACTGCCCAGCGTCCTACTTGGTGAAACCGGACGGAGGAGAGATACCAGACTCAAAGAACACAAGCATGACGTCACGTGCGACTCCCACGCGACGCGACTCAAGACTGAACTGGTGGACCATGCGTGGACAATGGGGCATTCTTTTGACTTTCTGGCCGCGACGACCTTGGCGAGGGAGGACAGATGGGAGCCCCGAAAGCTCCTAGAATCGTGGTTTGTTCGCAGGGACACATCCGTGTGTAACAAAAACCGCGGCCCTCTCCGCGAAGTTTATATGGACATTCGTGATAAATAGCGTTGACTTGAGGATGAACCTGGCATTTGGTTTGTAACTACTGAAGACTGTAACTACTGCATGGGAGGCGAAACGTCTAACGAAATTGTTTTTTTCTGATGTGTCAAGTCGGTGCTCTTATTTTAATTACCCGATCACACCCGCCATTCCTACGTAGCAGACGGTAAGGGCACAGGGAAAGTGTTAGAGCACCGCTGATACCCAACTGATACCCCCCCCCCCCCCCCCCCCCCTCCACGCTCCCCCACCTCCCTCGGTCCGCGTGGCGCAACCAACAAGCTCATTTGGTGCAACACGCGGTTTGTCGCGCGCAATGTGATATCGAACCAGTCTTGTACACGCTACTAAAAAAAAAAGAAATTGATTAAAATTATAATTACTCTCGGTTACCAATATTCAGTTGAATTACTTGATTACTTGAAAAGAAAAGTAATTGCCTGTTACTTGAAAAGTAGCCCTTTTCCGATACTTAATTTATTCAAAACGACAAATTTTTCAGCCGGTTTCAAAAATAGGTCCCTCTTATAGTGCATTATTAGATTGGAATCACTTAACTATTAACTACGAATCGTCTTAATTCATTCAATTTGGTAAACCATGCTCCTGTGGGAGACTTGGCTGCAGGATTCCTTGGCACTAAACTTGAGGAAACAGAGGGCACCATTAGGAAGGGGAAGTGAACAATAGCAAGGGTTACAAACAAGTTTAGTACTTCCAAAAGTAATCAAATTACTGTTGCGATTATTCCTTAAGAAATGTAATGAAGTCATTGCAAAATGACTCCATAAAGTAATCGATTACATGTAATTTGATTACCTGTATTGAGTTCCGTTGAAGTGTGCATCAAATCAACAGCTGCGCTTCGTTACTGACACTCTTTCCCGTGGCCGCGTTGAGGTACGACCAACTCCAACACGAGCGAGCAAAGGTCCGTGCAAGGTTCCCATGTGCAGCTATCGTTCAAAACTGACGTCATCGCAATGCAAATAAACGAAAGCTTGTTTCTTCCGTGCTCCAGGAAAAGAAACGTCCTGTGTCCCGGGAGCCACGCGCCTGCGGCTACGCAAATTGAAGATATTAATTATTACCCGTGTGAATTGGATACAACCCCGTCATCAGAGCTGCTCTCGATGGGGTGCAGAGCGGCAGCGAGTAATAGTTGTTGAGAATGACACCGTCTCCCGCCAGAACGTCTATATTTGGTGTCGGTACTTGGGTGGATCCATGGAAACTGACGTCTCCCCATCCCTGAAATACACAAAAAGAACAAGAATTAATTTCCTAACTTCGTATATTGCCAGGAATGCCGTACGAATAAAGTAAAAAGAAATTTGTTGTTAATGGTGAAAGTGCGCCTAAGACAGAAGAGAATAAAGGCCCGTTCGCGCACTTTTGTTTGCTCACGATCAAGTTCTCGTGGTGTCTTGCGAAGAGAGAACACACTGGCACGCTAGCGCCATCTATGATGTGACCCTGCCATTATATTTCACTAAAGGAAAGGTTTTGCGGTATTTACGAGATAAAGTGTGCGAACTATCTCTAAAAAACTGTGGTTTAATACATTGTCAAAAGGTTTTGATAAAAAAAAAAATTAACGATTCGCCAAAAATAACACGAGAAAACTAGAAATTATACGGTGAGGCCTGTGTTCGTTGGTTAGCCGATAAATGGCACCGGTGTGTTCTCTCGTCGTAACGTGTTTTAAGTGGTTTTAAGGACACGGTCGTAACCAGTGTCGAGTGTGTGAGCCAGCCTTAATACGTCACGGTCGTCGATGTCCTCGTCGCAGCAGGATAGAACCCTAGCACAGAAATCACCGCATGCTGCCGATTATGGCTCCTTTAAGGCTGACTTTGTGGTCGGGAATGTTCCGGACAAGGCTGCGGAACAAAACCTTCCAGGGAGGCTCAAAAGAAAGTACCAATTCCTCCCCATGCCCTGCAAATGACCGCCCACAGCTACACTGCCGTGATTAAATTCAGTTGACATGTCCTGCAAGCTTATCGGACGAAGACATGGGACACTGTGACGTCACGCGGCTCCTGGAGATAACGAGGCCCTAAATTACGTTTAAAAGTAGGCGGGAAACTTCTCTAAATTTAGCGGGAATATCGCGACGTTATTCGATAGGACGTCAAGTGACACTATGATGTCACAATGTCGCTACACTGATTCCCCAATAAGTATAGAGGAGACATTTTCCCGCTAAATTTAGCGGAAACATTTTTCCGCCTTGTTTAGCGCGTTACGACGTACGTAACGGAAACACAAGGATCCGCTGCCAATCATTGACAATAAGGGCTATCGCCGTAAAAATGGTTAAAGAGAAAGAAGTTTCTGGAAGGGACCGCACCCTGTTTGCCACGTGCGAGCCCAGTACAGTGTACTAGAATACTTGGGTACTGTTGGGACCGGAGCGGCTCGGCAGCGGGAGCTCGTGAGGGCGCGTGTATTGACAGTTCGTGGCGGCGCTGTAGTCGAGTTATCCGAAAAAAATCACGCAGTCCGCCCTTTTTTTTCACTTTGAGCGGTGCACGTACCGGCACCGCGATTTTATACACTCCGTTTTACCTTATGTCGTACTGCAGCGGAGACTAGAAGCGCGAGCTTACAGCTCTGGCAGCTGCCCTTGGTGCACGAGAGCTTGTGCCGCCGAGATGTGCCCTAGAGCAAGGAGCTCGCGCTTGTAGCCTTTCCTACGGTACGACACAAGGTGAAACAGAGTATAGAACGCATAAAAAAAAATTGGTATTTTCTTTTTTTTTAATTTTTGCGGTAGGCAAAGGGTTAGTGAACGGTGAATGCTCGAGTGACAGTTTTTCGAGTGCGCTAAACGTCGACAAACATGAAGAACCAACTCGCCCAATCTCAGGTTCTTACAATTTACAAAGTTCGCGAACAAACAACGAGCTTTGAGATATTCATCGCTAAAATTTTGCCTTCGCTTAATTAAAAAAAACACGCGCTGAAAGCGCGAATGAGGTTGTGCCGATATTGATACGTAGAAGAATGACACAGTTGTTTCTGTCCCCTCGTCACTAATTCGACAGCGTGTCTTCGGTGGACTCGCCGGCGCCACATATTTGGGAGAGCATTTTGATATCAACAATATTTATTTTTCTATAAATGTTTCAATCTAGTCTCTCGCAACGCACGTCGGCTCTCTTTGCTCTGGCGACTAAGTCCGAACGATATTTTTGGGCAGTTGCCTCTCCCTCAGGGGAAGCCACACAAATCGTCTGACAAGATTAATTTTTCTTCTAACACGTACCTCTATATGCCTATTTATATATTCCGGGAGAGCATCTTTTATATTTACAATATTAATTTTTCTATAATTTTTTTTAATCTGGTCTCTCGCAACAAACGTCGGATCTGTTTGCTGTGGCGACTGTGAACCGCGAGTAGGGACACACCCGAACGCGGTGATTGCTGAGAGACAAAGACGTTTATTCGCTCGCTTTTGGCAGACGTTCCAGATTTCTTTTACCTTGGTTGTTGTAGGTCTGTTAGCGTTGGCGTATCTCCTTAAGTCTTGCAATCACCTGCTGGGGTGGTACTGTGATCAGGCCCTAAAATCTTGCGGTGCATAGGCAGCAGTGTCCTTGTCCTTCTTCCTATCAGGCGCTGGACTGGGGCTGCAGGAGCCTGTCTCTTGGCATGTTCCTCCATTGCAACAGGGCGCAGTAGAATTCCGCCGTGTCGTAGGGAGTCTTGCTCAGAAGCTTCTTTGCCTCTTGGACGGCTCGCTGGGCCATTCCGTTTGAACGGCGATAGTGTGGACTTGATGTCATGTCGATGATGTCACAGCGCTCCATGACTTCGGCAAACTTGTGGCTGTTAATCGGTGGCCCATTGTCACTGATCAGCTTGTGGGGAAGACCATGCGTAACGAAGACCTATTGGCAGAACTTTATGGCAGCATCTGCCGTTGTGTGTTTCAAGCGTCGAAGTTCGAAATAAAACGAATAAAAGTCCACGATGATCACATACTCGTCTCCTGCTTGGTGGAAAAGGTCCATGCCAACTGTTTGCCAGGGCAATTCTGGGACATCGTGGCTCATCATCGTCAGCCGTTGGTTCCTGGCCTTGTGTTGTCTGCAGAGCGCACATCTTTCCGCTTTCTCTTGGATGTCTGCTGACATTCCAGGCCACAACATGACGTCTCTGGCACGTTGTTTCATCTTTTGTGTACCCCCATGGGCTTCATGCAGGAGGTCTAGGACTTCGTTCCTCATGGTGCTGGGAATGATCAGTCTGCTTGATCGAAAGAGGAGGTCGTCTTCCGAATAGATCTCATCCCGTTACGGCCAGTAGGCTCGTATTTGTTCGGGGACGGCATATTTTTCTTCTGGCCACTTCGTGGTTGCATGCTTTCTCAGAGTACGGAAATTCTCATCTTGGTTTGTTGCCCGCATGATCTGCTGTAGTGTTTCTGCAGAGACTGTCAGCTCTTGGATGACGTTCACTTGGAAGTGTTCTTCCCCTGGCACCTTCTCTTTCGATAGAAACCGAGACAGGGCGTCTGCGATGAACATCTCGTTTCGTGGCTTGTACTTTATCTGAAATGAGTACTTCTGGAGAGTCAGGCTCATTCTTTGCAGACGTAGCGGACACTGGAAGTGGTTTTCTGAAGATCGCCTCAAGAGGGCGGTGGCCACTTTCCACCAGGATGCAAGGCTGAGCGAAGACGTAGTCGTGGAAGCGAGTGCAGCCAAGCACATTGGCTAGCATTTTCTTTTCAATTTGTGCATATCTCTCTTGAACTTCAGTCACTGAGCGAGAAAAATAGGCCAGGGGGTGACCATTCTGCAGGATGACAACTCCTACTCCTCGTTGGCTAGCATTTACCTGCAACTCAAGGGGCTGCGTCTTGTCGTGTTATGCCAGGACCGGTGCCTGTGATAGGGCTGTCCGAAGACGCTCAAAGATTTCTTGTTGGAAGTCGGTCCAGACCCAAGTGTTGTCCTTCTTCAGCAGGTCTCGTAAAGGTGCACTTAACTCCGACATGTTGGAGATAAACCTTGCAACGAGGTTCACCATACCCAGGAATGTCTGCAGTTCCTTTACACTCTCTGGGACCTGAACTGCAAGGATGTCCTCTGCTCTATTTGAGTCGGTCGAGAGTTCTTTGTCCGTAAGCACAAAGCCGAGGGAGCGTACCTAAGCTTTGAAGAAGTGGCACTTGGCCAGGTTCAGCATAAGGTTTACCTCTTGGCACCGTTGCAGGACACTTTGTAGACGTCTGTCGTGCTCTTCTTTTGTTAAACCCCACACAAGCATGTCGTCCATGACCACCTCGACGCTGTCGAGACGTTGGAGCACCTGGTGCATTGCTCTCTGGACGACTTCTGGGGCATTGGCGATTCCGAACAGCATCCGGAGGAATCTGTATTTTCCGTAAGGTGTGCTCATGGTGCACAAATACGAGCTAAGCTTGTCAAGCCGAATCTCTCAAAATCCTGCGGCAGCGTCCAATGTAGAAAAGACCCTCGATGTTTATGACGATGTCCTCCAGCGTCAGCATGTGGTAGTGCTCTCTCTTGAGCGCTTTGTTGAGGTCAACTGGGTCCAAGCATATTCTTATGTTGTCTTTCTTGACCCCAACTACCATCTGGCTGGCCCATTCAGTCGATTCGGTGATGGGGGCTAACACAACATCTGCTTCCATTCGGTCGAGTTCAGCCTTGACCTTGTCACGGAGGACCAGTGCGACGCTACGAACTGGCTTAACTACACCTTGCGATCCTTGGTGCAGTTTCATGTGGTACACCAGCCCACGTAGTTCCCCTAGGCCCTTGAAAGTCTCTACGAACGGTCGTGCCGCTTCGTAGATTGACCCTCTTCTGTCTCTGTGGCCACAAGTTTGATGAGGCCGAGCTCCTGGGACAGCTGACCACTGAGGGTTGCTTGAACCGGTTCTTGCACAACGAAAAACTGTGCCCGAGCAGCTCCGCGTTTGCTGCATACTTGCAGAATCACCTTTACGGCTACTTTCTCTTTCTGGCCGAAAAATGTGTTCAGTAATCCCTTGCTTGGCTCCAACTCCTTGCGTGTTATCGCCTCCAGTTGCTTGAGTGAAATCACCGAACAGTTTGCTCCTGTATCCAAGTTACAGACCACTGCCTTGCCTTCGATGTTGATCTCGGCTTTCCAAACTTCAACTTTTTGCGTGTAGCTCGACGAGACGGCATGCAGAAAGTAGCTTTCTTTGCATTCCAGGCTGTCAACTTTTCGGGTCTTCACCT